AATGGCAAATAGAAGAAAGTGCTTTGGGAAAAAAAACTTCAGCTAACAAAATGGATAAGGCTTTTATGTATTATTTAAAAAGTCTTAAAATGCATTAAATAGTAAAATCTCCATTAAAAGTATATAAGAAGAAATAAAGATTAGTCATAAATGAAATAATTAAACATTATCGTGTGATATAAAAAAAAAAAAAAAGAGAGAGAGAGAGAGAATTACCAGTAGAAGAAATTTTTCCCTATTTACTTTAATTAGTCCCAATTATTTACTTTAATTAATAAGTAATCCAATTATTTACTGTAATAATTCGATCATTTTTATTCAGAGTAGCGAATGCAGGGGGATTTAAACAAAATAATGGGTACTTATATATCGTCCTTTTGAAACTGAACCTTGAAAGTTGGGGGAGATCCCGCGAAAGTTGCACTAGTCGTCCCTGTGGAATTCTGAGCCGCATTTTTATCTGCAGCTTTTATAGTAAAACATTCGTCAGTTTTTTTGCACAATTCATCAAAATAGCCACCGCTACGGAAGTATTCGACCTGCTTCGTAAAAAATATTAAAAGTGATTTCTATTTCGGAAGCATAGCTTGACAATTTAAACCAATTAAAGATAATAGTCTTCGACTCCCTAATTACATTTGCATCAAGATTAGACAACGCAACAGAATGAGAAAATCCTATCACGTGACCTGGGACCCACGAATGAAACGCGAAATCAATAAACTTAATAGAGAAATTCAGAAAGACATAAAAAATTATAGAGAAGAATTATGGTGCGAGAAATTAATTAATATTGACACTAGAGATGGGTCATTATGGACAATAATTAAGAATCTTAAATCTCACTATACTACAAACAAATCTATAAATACAAATACCAAATCTTACTCTTACCCATAATGGAGCTCTCGCAGTCACTCATCAGGATAAAGCAAATGTGTTTGCGACCTACCTAGAGGAAACAATTTACACCCAATGAATGGCCAAATAATAAGGACTTTGAACAAAGCACATTGACAGATGTCGGAGACAGGTTGGTTTATTCCCCCACTGCTAGAAACTTAATTAAACTCACCAACACAGATTAAAAAGATTAAAGAAATTAATCAAGAAACTTCCATCCCAGGAAAGCACCGGAAATAGATGGCATCACAAATAAAGCTATGAAATGCCTTCCCAGAAACACTATCGGAATAATAGCAAGTATGTATTTTTAATGCTTGCCTTACATCCTCATATTTCCCCAAATTATGGAAATTTGCTAAGGTCATCTTAATACCAAATCCTGGAAAAAACCACTAACAAGCTGACATATACAGGCCCATTAGGTTTACTGCCTGTATTAAGTAAAATATTCGAAAGAATTATTCTCAGCCGAATGAAAATTATCTTCAACTTCTTCCGCCGGAGCAGTTTAGCTTTAGAGAGAAGCTCTCGACTGCAAAACAACTTCTTCGTATTACGGAGTATTCTGAAGCTGCTATACATAATAAATTGAATGTTGTTATCCTCATGCTGGACGTAGCGAAAGCTTTCAACCGCGTCTGGCATGAGGGACTCATTGCAAAACTAATCAACCTTAATTTTGAAAGAGAAATTCTTCTGATCATCCTCTCATTTATCTCGGACAGGACTTTTAAAGTGTACGTGAAAGGAGCTTACTCCTCAGAACGTAATATGCAAAGTGGACTACCTCAGGGGTCTTGTTTAGGCCCTGTATTCTATTTATTTTATGCTGCAGACTTCCCTAAACCCAACAGTAACGACTCTATCCTTGCATGTTACGCAGATGATACTGCCCTGGCAGTTAAGTCTGCGAACATTAACTTCGCTATTAAGAAACTACAAGCCTTCATTCCAAGTATCGAGTCATGGTGCGCAAATTGAAAAGTGAAGATTAATCTCAATTATTGATTAAAATCTCAATTATTGATCATTTGCAGAAGGAAAAGAAATAAGCAACTGAAGAATCACCTTCTCCTCTTTAGTGAAAGAGTTCCTATAGTGAAAAGTGCCAAATTTCTCGAAGTCACTCTTAATGATCGTCTTACCTGGACTGACCATATCAACAAAGTTCGAACCACTGCACTAAAAATTATCAAGTGTTTGCTTCCTATACTCGGTAAATACTCTAGAATGGATTTGGGGAAGAAAAGACTTGTTTATCTCTCCACAATTAGACCTATTTTGACTTATTCATCTCCTGCCTGGGCGGCAGCCAAAGACTCAGACGTAAACAAACTCCAAATCGTTCAAAATAAACTCCTGCGTATTATCACGAACGCACACTATTATGTCCGCCACAAGACTCTCCATGAAGACCTCAAAATCGATACCATCGCGGTACATCTGCGAAAACTTAATGATAAATTCTTCAAAAATGCGCAGGAATGTAATTTCATGAATCATTTCAACATGTTTCATTATGAAGATCTCACCGATGATCGATTTCTTCGATCTTTCGCGGCCTACATACTCAGTGGAAACGAAAATTTCCCCACCTAATACCAAGTTAGTGGAAATTTGATCTGTACATAGTGATTTAACTCTTATTTTCTTTTGCTTTACTCCAGAATACTGCTTTTCTTCAATATTCAAGAAGCACTTCTAAAAGTCAGCGCCTGGGAGAGTGAGCTCCCACGTGATCTAAGAACTTGAGTTCTATGTTCAGCCTTGTTGTAGGACTTTCTGCATTTTTTTTAGGACTGAAATTTCTGGTATTGCTTATGTTTATCATATTGAAGAACATGAGAAAAATAGTGATCTTTTGCTATTGCAACCCATTATTTAATTTTTTACTCTTTTCATCAGTTTTGGACAAGTTTACGCTAAGCGAATCAAAATGCCTGATTCCGCTCACGTGATATGTGACTTATTCTAAGTATGCTCTGGGATAGACATCTTGAATTTGTATATATGTATTTTGTGTTAACATTTGTTCTGCATTTATTCTGTTATATTGTAACTCTTACTAAAATTATTGCTTTCCTTGAACATCTTCGACTGTTATAATCATACCATGATTCTGTTTATACCACCCCCATCACGTTATCATGGACTCAGAACTTCAACTTACTGGACTGCTAGACTGTATTATGTGATGAAATTTGGTTTATTCCATATGTTGTTACTCTGATGATTACTAGAAAAATTTCCCTTTTATGTAATTATTTCTGCACATTTGTACATTTAAGGTTTTCTTCAGCATTTCTAACCTGAAATCTCGCAACATATTAACGACTTCTTCACACCTCACGTGACAAGGTAGTCACGCCCTCTCAACATCTGCAATCCTGACTTAGGTCTCACTTATACATTCTCCTACTTCCAGCGCTCTATAGCAACTAACTCAGACAGACGAACAAAACTTGCAAATCCTGCAAGTTAATCAGCGGCGCATCCAGCGGAACTTGGAATTCTATTTAAAATAACATGTTTGTCGTTTTTAAGCGCTATGCGTATAAACTTCTCGCTTATTATTATCATGTTCAAATAACGAATTTTAAGAAATCCTGTGAAGATTTTCTTATACTCTAATTTAACTTGAAATTCAGGTATTCCGATTTAAGCTTATTACACAGATGTTGTGTAACAGTTTTTTTAAAGTTACACGGCACTTTTTTAAAAAACGTTTTCGCATATTCAGTATCAATTATTCATTTTATATATTTAAATCCGATAGATGCGATGGAGTTTTTTTGTTCTGAAACTTTCGAAGTCCCCCAAATATCTGCTTTATCCAGGTTAAATTTTTAGAGAAACACCACTTGCAAAGCATAAACATATTAATTTTTTTAAAGATAAGAACAATATCTGAGAACGATGTTTTAAAAATGAGTTTGAATTTTACGTATTAACTAACAGAGGTCGTAATTAAGAATATAAGAAATTTTAAGATATGTAATATGGTTTACCTTTGAAACAGATCAGTATTTCCCAGTAGATAACAATATATATGTATGATGTAGTGAAACTGCATATGGAATTAAGTATTAAAATGTTTTTTATTGATACATATAAGATAATTAATGCAGACAATATCATGCAATATTTATATGAAAAGTTTTAAATTTTCGTTATTTTATTCATTTTGTGTTTCATTTAATGGAGATTCTACTTGCAGTTGTATGAATGATTATGATAATACTTGCAGTTTCATGTATGAAAAAAGTAAAATAATAATAATAATAATAATAATAATAAAGTCTGAAAGGTTTCAGATTTTAAATTACGTTCAAAGGGGCGTCTTTTTAACATTTTATGTGTTACCTTTATTTATCAAATATCATGTTCTTCGCACTTAAATCATAAAATTCAGTTCAACAGCAATATCGCAAAATAATTTTAAAATGAGCATCTCTTTAGAATTTCCGATGCAGAGTCTGGCGCGCTGAAGATAAAAATGTTTTTTCGCCCCCATGCAGTGTTGCTTTGAAGTCGTTTAGTTTGTTAAACAAAGATTCGTTGAAGTGTTACAAAATATGAAATCGGTAATAAAACAAATTTCAAATTCAAATTAGGGCTTCCACATGCCCATATTTTATGGAAGATTACATTATTCAAATTTTGATGGCTCTAGGTACCGTTGTTTTATCACAATGCGAGAAACATACATACATTCATGCAGATTCTTCATTATTTAATTTTCTTTAAATTTAATGCAGGGCGATAATATTTGGTGGCAACAATTTGAAAAGTGAAACAAAGCTTATCGTGAATAAACGCAAAATGCCAAAACGAAATCAATAGTCCGTCTGGGCAAATTGCCCATTTGGACTAATTAAATATATAAATAAATATAATTATAGTTATTACTATTTAGAGTTTACCGGCGCATACTTAAAAAAATCTATTACATTTATTAACTGGAAAGATCTTCAGATACATAGGAAAATAACTTAAGCATATATTTGAGAAAAAAAAAAAAAAGGTTTTATGTTTTGGAGATATATTTGCTTATTTATTTACAGGGAACAAGTACAAGGTATACAGAGAACATATATGTATATATATGTATATATGTATATAAGTATATTTATATGAAATGTCAAAACATTATACCTCTCTATGATCTAGAAAAGATGGGAATTTCTTAAATTCTGAGCTTTTAAAATATTTGTTGAAGTGACAATATCATTACATAAATATCGCTTCCCATTGTAGTCCCATTTTCTTTGCATATACAATTTTCTATTAGATTCCTTTTGTCTGTTGCTTCTGTTCAGACAATTACCATAATTCTATTATAGAATCTCTCTCTCTGAGAAAGGCAATATTTTCTCATATATGACTAGTGATTCTGTAATTCACTTCTTTATGTCATTTTATGAAATAAATAATAGTACAATACTGTATTTTTTTGTTCACAATGCTGATGATAGTTTTTTTTACAGAATGTCCAAACTTCATGCATCTCCATAGAGCTCACTTTTAGCTAACAATTTAACTGTTGTTGTTAGCATATTCTATCAAATAAGCTTGCTTAAAACAAATTATATTGAGAAGGCACACAATTAGATTTAAATTCTTGCATCTTTGATAGCTTAGAAGCAGAAAAAGTCCACTGTATTAATTTGCTGTCAGAGAGAAATTTTTTATTTAACTCCTAGATTATTTAATTGCACATTCTGGTTTCTTTTAGATTCTAGGATCTTTGATTATTGATGGTTTATATGTACTGTTTGTCAAGTCATTTTGGTTCGACATATATTGCTTATTACGTTGTCAGTTTATCAAGTCATAACTTTACTAGTGACATTTAACAGTTCATTTCATTCAGCGTTTCTAAACACTAATTTAAGAACAGAAAAAATTATAGAAATGATTATGTTGTCTTCTTCAATCCTTTCAAGATAATGATAACATATAATACTATTATTTCTTACTTTATGGCAGTTTGTTTCATTCCCATATATATGCTAAGTGATTAAATACTGGAAGATACGTAAAAATATACTTAGCATATTGCTGCTTATGAACTGCTCCAACAAGATCCACTTAGCCATCTAATGTCACATTTCTTTCAGTTTTACCTCTGTTTTTTTTTCGGGGGGGGGAGAGGAAGTAGTTTAGGACAATTAGTTTCACACAATAGTTCCTTCTTTTTCATCTGGACTGTCTCTTCTTATGTCGCCTCCAGAAGCAGCTCCTGGTAGATTTTCTTCTACGGATCCTTGCTTCCGCTTCTTACTGGGACTGGGAGATTTTATTCGTATAGAACCTCGGGTGAGAAATACTTTTTTGCTCCAGATAGGACTAGGGCGAATAACGTAACTGTAAATTGAAATCACATAAAATGAGACCAATGAAAAGAATATATCTGCGGTATATTTCTTTTAAAGATGTCTTCGTGTTCTAGAGACATTTTCTAATGGTAAGGTTATTTTACTATAAAGTTAAAAAAATATGCAATTGTATTTTCATACAGTTTTCTAACTTTTTGCCATCTAAATGTAAAAGGTACTCACTAAAATGTTAAGTCACCCAAATAATTTTCCGACTGAAGGGAGCCTGCCTTCGCTGGTACGGTAATCAATGCAGGCTGTTAGATTCCTACGCTACCGAGTTTTGATTCGTATCGGAATAAAGCATGTGAACATGAAGTCCGTTTCGTACTGAGATATATTAAATCACCCAGATGACATTCTGGTGGCACGAACATCTTAAAATATTAATGCCTCCCTCGGGGGCCTTAAAATATGTCAGACCGAAAGTCCTGTCAAGAAGTTGATGGAGGAAAGGAGGTGGACAATTCACTCGAATTCCATTGATTGGAGGCTACATGGGTAAAACCTGCACAGAGCTTAGGCAAATAGTCCATGTGTGCTTTGCCTAAATTATGTAATCAAATCCAAGATCGAAGGTAGCCTGAGGTATGGAAGTGAGCTAGCAGCGTAGTTAGATGATCTTGCGTTTCCCTAAAATTCTGATAACAAATAACGCTTAAAGGCACAATTCATAAATTACCGTTTATGTCGTTAGAAGTGAAGGGAGATGTCAAAATCGGAATTATAAAGCTAAAGGAGAATTACCAATTTGGAAACAAACGTTATTTTTATAGACATGCAGAATACGAATAAAAACCTATGAGTATTAATAATTTTACAGTTAATGAGTTTTGTAAACAGTCGCCTATCATCAGATGTTCTTGTTATAAGCATTATAAAAAGATAATGGCCAGTGTTCGAAAGCTGAGAGTTGCAAAAATGGTTCTTCTTTAAGATATATTGCTTCAAACTTTGAAGGAGTTGTATGACAGTATGCTTTGCGATTTCCTTCATGTTAAGCGCATATATTAGACTAAAATCATGTGTTATACTTTTTTTTTTCATTAAATAAGATTTTCGAAACTTAATATTAACGGCTTTCTCTTTGCATTATCCCTTTCTGTAAAATGTCGTTTTCTACTATGTTTGTGATTATAGCTTTCTAAAGGACTGTTTGCTCTAACACTTGTTGTTGCCATTGCGCTTGAAGTCGTAGGACTCAGTATCCTCATTACAAGTTCCTACATCTCTCCAACGTCAGATGTCACAGGCTTATTCACAAAGCCTACAGACCGTTTCTACTGCTGTTTGCTCCGATTGGTTGAAGCAGGAAACGTAGGGTTACAGAACCTAGTGCTTGGCGACTTTTGGTTCATCGCCTTTAGAATTTGTATTTAAGCGTGGTGGACCAAAAATTGTGCATAACTCACCGGCGAAACCGCAACTCAGCGGTAACGAGCGCGGAAAAAGTTCTGCGACTTCTAGATCACCGGTTCTATCTTCGCTTGTATCTTTCATAAACTCTGCTCTACACGGATTTTTTTTTAATTTTAACTTTATTGAATGAATTTATTGATTTTCGTCATTATTTGTTTGGGTACAGTGTTAAAAATTAAACGCCTTTATTTTCTCTATTTTTGTTAATTTTTCTTATTTTTATTTACTGGTTTGTACTCTTTGTAGTAGGTACCAGTAGCAAGATTACGATCCAAGATCCCGAAAAGCGCTTCAATAGAAATAGCGCATAATGGAATAAAATATAAATTAATGCGCTATGGAAATTTACACAACAGGCTCTTTCTAACAAAAATGACGGAAAAGTGCATATGCTATCTCCATGTAAAAACCTTTTTCTTGTAAAACAATTACGACTTTTAAAAGTTTAATTGAAATACAAATAAACTATTAATAAGATCAGTAAGTTATATAAAATATATTCCATAGAATTCCTCCAAGCTTTCATTCATAAACTAAAAAAATATCGAATGAAATAAACTCAGTTTCCGTTTGTTTGGCGTTAATTACCACGCCTACAGGGCGATAACTCGCCATTCCAAATATGACCGCCAAGCAGATGTTTCATCCAATGAGAGCACACCTTAGAGAAATGGTCTGTAGGCTTTGTGAATATGCATGTCACAGAAGCCCTGGAGCTTCAACAAAAGCTTCTAAGAGACTTTCCACAAGCCCATCACAACCTGGCTGGCGACTGCAATTCCCACTCCGAAGCATGGCGTTACCCCAGCACGGATGAAAGGGGTAGAGAAGTTGCAGATTTCATAGCCAGTAACGATCTAGTATTACACAATGTTCTGAACTGTCTACCGACGTTTGAAACTATTATAGGGAAGGGCTGGCCTGACCTCAACACCACGGCAGCCCTGGCACTAAAAATCCAGAATTGGACTGCGCAAGATACTCTCTCCAATTCGGATCATAGGTATGCCACCTAATATATCTGTCAGCCATATTCCAGTTTTATTCAAAAGATATAAAACGTCAAAGAGGAAGCTAAGGTAGTTTATTTATAAAATTAGTCCAACACTGGCACCGGTAGAATAGGACATATGTAGCTGGTTGCAAAGATATTCCGGAAGCAGATTACATTACTTGCAACTTGATAAAGGAAATACAACCCACCTGTGACTGTGTATTTAGACTCAAAACTCCGAAAGTTCTCCATGCGGCAAATTGGTGGACCAAGAAATTAATGGCGCTAAGAAGTAAAACTCGAGCTATGCGTAGGAAGATGGAGAAGGAGCGCGATGTCACCATTAGACAAGAACTGGGCATCGCGTACAATAAAGCGCAATATAAAAAAGCGATTCTTGCAGCGAAGCTTAAAAGCTGGAGGAATTTCTGCTCAAGCAACACGGAGGTCTATAAAGTCCTTCATAAGACCGCGTCAGACTAGGTGTTCAAGCCCCCGCAGCACCGCAAGTATCAAAGTGCTAGCACAAGTTCAACAGGAATTTTGGAAGATACTCTTAAACGAATTCTGGAGACAAACTTTCCTGGCAATTATATAGATACCCTGGATCCTCATCCAGCCTACAATCTTTCCACAAACACCATTAATGATGTGCCTTTTACAGCACAGGAAATACAAGTGGTACTAAGAACCCTCCCGACCAATAAAGCCCCAGACCCTGATTCTATAGACTATGGAATGATCAGAGCTCTGCAGAACGATCCAGAGTCCTTTACGCCAGTATGTCTACTACCGGGGTTGCAAAAACTCTATAAAACATTAATCATTCAGAGACTTAAATATCACTTGGCAAGTACCAGTAGCCTTTCAGATAAAAATTTGGTTTTAGAGAGCACTGCTCCACTACCCATGTGCTTGATCGGATTCGCAAAGCGATTATGGAAGCCCGAAACAATAAGCTCCACGGAGCGGTGTTGAGCCTGGGCCTGCAGAGTTCGTTTGATTCCCTGTGGTGGCCGGAAATTCTGGAGACACTCCATAAAGCAAATATCCCTAATAATATTTTACATATTTTCAAGAGCTACTTGAGCGACCGCACTTTGATAGCCGTACACAATGGAGGAATTTTCTACAGAAAGCAAGTACAAGATTGTCCGCAGGGATCATGTGCAGGTCCAGATCTCTGGAACATCACTTTTAATTCAATATTACAAGCTGCCTGTCCTCCACACACTGAGGTCATAGCCTTCGCCGACGATGCCACCTTCGTAGTTTGTGGTGAGTCTAGAAACATCCTTCAAAACAACTGAAACGAGACAATCTCTCTTTTCGCCAACCTCTGTTAGATAAGAAACTAAAAATCTCAGAAGCGAAGTCGAAATACATTGTGTACCATAAGCCGGGTCAAACTTTAGATAGAAACCCGTGCATTGCAATGGCAGGCAGAACGATCAAGAGGGTAAAGGAGTTGAAACTTCTGGGAATGGTTTTGGATGAAGACTTTTTCTGGTCCCACACACCAAACAGCAGCGACAAAAAGCCCATCACATAGCTAACGGCAAACTGGGGCTTACGCCTTCACATTTTAAAGATATTATACCAAACAGTTGTGGAAAAAATATTTATATATGGGGTGGCTATCTGGGCCCTTCCAATGACCACCAGCAAGAAGCGGATCCTCTACAGCGCGCAGAGCCCTTTTTCATTAGCAGTAACAAGAGCCTATCGCACAACTTCGACCAGCCCAGGAAGCAGTTGTCACAACTTAGGGCAAGCATCACACATGGAGATGTAGCGTATGAACCTCTAAACAATGAAACCAAAAGCTCAAGGCTAGCCATTCACACATCCCAGTATGGCCTGGGAGTAGAAGTTTTCTATAATTCGCTTCTCACCCCAAGTGTTGAAAGTAATTTTCCCACAATCCTTACAGATGATTCAAAGATTGAAGAGGAAGTTGGGAGCGCCTTTGTAGCCTACGAAAAAGGTGCAGTCATAGACACGTGGTAAGGCCATCTTAGCCCTGGAAACTCCGTTTTCCAGGCTGAAGCTATGACAATACAACAAGCAATCGCATGGTCAATTTACAAAAGAAACAGACAGGTTACCGTTTTCTCTGACAGCTTATCGGCAATTCAAGCTATAAAAAATCGAACATATCCGGCACCACTAATTACGGATGTGCAGAATTTATTAAGGAGTGCAAATACAACAAGAATACGCATTTTCTGGGTAAAAGCTCATGCTGTTACCCAGGGCAATCAGCGAGCAGATGCCTTAGCTAAAGAGGCGGCACAAAGTATCAACGCAACCCATATTGCAATCCCGCTTCCTAAATCCCATCTGGAAGGGAAAAAAAACCGACAGCAACAATACTAAAGATGTGCCAAGAGGACTGGACAACGACACAGAAAAGCCGAAGGACCTACGAATGTTTTCATAAAGTAAGCACAGATCGGCTTATTTCAGTTCCTTTTCTTACAAGATTCTATACTGGACATGGCCCTTTCCCTTCTTACTTTGCAGAAAGAGGTATAATCAGAACAGATATCTGAATATGTGGCGACACAGGACTTCCAGACCACTACCTCACCAAGTACCCCTGAATAAGGACTGGCACATTAATTTGCCTACAACGGAGGTAGCTGCTTTCAAACGGTTCCTGATTAAGCAGTCCTCATTGCTTAAAAAATTGCATAGTATCATTACGAAACTAGAGGCGCTGGGGCAGGACCTTTGTCGTCCAGAATAATAGCAGTATGTTTAATTTGGAAATCTGCTGACATTCTTGTGCACTAGTGATACCCACAATGTCTTCTAGCCACGGCCTGTGTACATGAAAACTCTTTCTCACTTTAAAGCATAGTACTAAATCTATTTGTAACAATGCAGATATCAACTCCTATACAAGTAACCGTGCATAATTAGTGTAGCTATTCTATACAGTGTGAAATGTGTATTGCAGTATAATAGTAAAGGATAGTTGCAGGGTTCGGACAACACCCGAGTAGTCTTAGAAAGCCGTCCGGGTGTCCGGCCTTGCTACCACCTGTAAAGGATAGTTGCAGGGTTCGGACAACACCCGAGTAGTCTTAGAAAGCCGTCCGGGTGTCCGGCCTTGCTACCACCTGTCATTTGTTGTTTGGAGGAGTATACCTATGAACTATGATTTTCAGTTTGGACGTGAAGTCATCTATCTTCTGTGGTAACGCATGGCAATTTTACACCTACTCACTTTCACAGCTCGAGCTGTAGCGTTATTTGAGTGACTTAACACTAGCAATTTTTAAAGGTAAATTTTAAAGTTAAAAATTATGATCATAGAATTTCATATTACAAACTTTAAATATAAGATAAAGTTACTAATATGTGCAAAATTAATAAAAAAATGTCTTACATGACATCCCCTTCCTCCAGTAACAGGTCGCAGCTAGGATTGATCATCACATACGATAAACTATTTCGTTTCTCTGAACAGTCATCTGAAAATAAAAAATAAATTTTAAATATATATTTCGTCCATAAAATGAACTTATTTTCTGTTTTTATTCATACTAATCACTGTCTTCATAAGGGAAAATGGATGAACTAAAATTGATATTTTGTTTTGAAAAAAAATTATAATTTTTTGAGTTATATAATTTAATTTGAAAAGTATTGATGAGTGCGGTCATATTCTTGCTATGCATAAACAAACACTAACATATCATCCAAAATAATCAACTAAACATTTTTGCTCTCAGTAAAAAGAAATGCAATGTTTTGTTTACGAGTAATCTACAGCTTTGTGAAAATTGATATTTTCTCACTAGTTAGATATGTCGGGCTAGTCTGTAGTATACATGTTGCTGAAAAAGTGCCTTGTGTGTTCACTGAGCCATTAGTGGACGCTTTTCAAGATGGTTTTGTGTCAGAGATTATAACCTGTTTTGTTCCAAAGCTACATCTTTTTTTACAGTTTGAGGCCATCAATTCAAAATCCAACAAATCTTCCTTGAAATCGTGAAGTTGACCTTTGCGGAAATTTTGCTTGTTGAAAATTCTGCTGTAGATCATCACTTTTGCAGAGCGAACTCTGAATTGCTTCATAACACAATTTGAATGGCAACGCAGCGTGAATTTCTGAATGCTTTGAAGGAAGGGGGAAGCACAAAACAAATATTGTATTATAAGATTCTTAAGAAATGTAAGCTTTGGTTAGTTGTTTTAGACGAGTATAGTTACTAGGCATCTTTTGGTGAAATTGTGGCTATTTCAGTGTATTTATTGATGCTTCCTGACTTTTTTCGTAAGCCGATAATTGAAAATTCATGTTACAAAAATAAGCCTCAATGGTAGAAGACATGGAAAGCAACATTCGTGGAGCAATCATATCATTGATAAGACAAGTTGCGTGAAACATTTTATATCTATCTAGAAGGTCTGTGGGATAGACTTTCAACACATTTTGTGGATAGTACTACATTTTTATGCATTACAGAGAGCTGTAAATTATATTACCTATTTCTATGTAAAGTATATTGCAAGTTACATGTAGAATTAGATATAGTAAGCATTCTGTATAAAACTCTGTGATTTATTTCATACTTCTGAGGTAAAGCCAAAATCAAGCTGTTTATATTATAAACTAGATTGCTCATTTGAATTATCTCTCCAAAATATTTCTCATGATGCAAGATCTGCTTTCAATATACCACAGCATATTTTAGAATTTATGAACAACAAATATCAGTTTTACAGAATTATTGTCTATTCATACAAAATTGGATTAATTATTATTTTTTTGATTAAATTACGCATTGAAGCTACATGTAACAGTATTGAAAGAACTTTTTAATATTGTTACGAGTTTGATATTTAAAAAGCTAATGTTAGTTCAATTATAAATTAAATGGTTTTATTTCCCGCGCAGTGCAGCGCGTGACGAATGCTAAAAGAAAGCTAACCCGGAAAATTGAAAATACAAGAGCGCATGCATTAAACATTTAATAAATATCTCTTTTTGATTGCGAGAAAATACTAGAAAATTCTCACGCGCGATTTTAAATCTTGTAAAAGGAGGAAAACCTCTCAGTTCGTAGTCGTTACTTAGTTTGCTGTTGTTTAGAAAACTGCTCTTGTTGACTGTAGCGAATTCGCTGATTAGCTTTCTTTAGCTGTTTTGAATTAAGTTCTTTTGAACGTTTGAGTAGTTAGAAGATAACTACAGTGATATATTGTAAAACTGAAAGAATATCTGAGGGAATTTAAGCATTTTGTGATAATAATACATTTTTTGTTCATTTTTCATCGGACTTGTGCATTCATTTCGTAACGAACCCGTACGCACGGAACAATTTTTGGTGTCAGAAGTGGGATTTTGAATGCCAATTACAAGAGCGATGGAAGAACAATTCAGGCAAATGTGACTGCATTTACTGCTTTCCAAGAAAAGATGGAAGGGGCTGTCAACTTCGTTAAGGAAGAAATGAAAGCAGGACAGGAACAGATGAAATTGGCCCAGGAATCCGTTAAGGAAGAAATGAAAGCGGCACGGGAACACATGAAATTGGGCCAGGAATCCGTTAAGGAAGAAATGAAAGCTGCACAGGAACAGATGAAATTGGGCCAGGAATCCGTTAAGGAAGAGATGAAGGCCATTCAAGCTGGTCAATTAACTTTTCAAGACGAAATAAAAGTTGTTAAGGAATCTGTAAAGCAGAAATGAAAGCTGTACAAGTAAAGATTGAAGAAAGTCGATACGAAATGAAAAGAGAAATTGCCTGCATAATAGAAAATAAATTCGATGCTATGGAAGGCAGAATAGATGTGGTTGAAAATAAAGTGGGACAAATTGAGGAAAATGTTTCTTCTGTCAAAGAAGAAATAGAAGGAAGAGTTTGTTCTGTTCAAAAACAAATCGAACAACAAATTGATGAGAGAGTTTCTGCAGTTGCCAAAGAACTGGATACTTTAAAGAAATTCATAGCGACGGCTGGGAGCAATTCGGATGGTTTTAAATTTTTACCAGTGCCTGCTCGTCCCTCTCTGAAACTATCTACATATGATGGGAAGACTTCCTGGCACGTGCATAGGACACAATTTTCTATCGTTGCGGATGCGAATGGATGGGATTCCCAAACTAAGGCCTGTCATCTCGCCGCTTCTCTGAGAGCAGACGTAGCGGATATCCTGAAGACGCTTCCAGAAAACCAAAGACTTGACTTCGAAGCTTTATCCGGCGCATTAGAGCTGCGCTTTGGCGAGAAATGTTTAAAAGACTACAGCAGGCTTCAATTTAAATCCCGTCAACAGAAGCCCACCGAATCACTCCAGGAACTCGCCACGGATGTTGAAAGGCTGTCCCACCTCGCCTTTACGGAGTGCCCGAGAGAAACGAAGAAAATCCTGTCCCTGCAGTATTTTATCGATGGCATCCGGGAACCTGAAATACAGAAAGCTCTTCGAATGGCAGATATGAGGGACATAAAAAGCGCTCTGTTGTACGCCATGAAGTTTGAGGCAGCCCAGCAAGCAACTAGTATAGATCGCTATCCAGTCAGAGCTATGCGAGTCGACGAGCCAGTGGATCAACTGATAGCTCGCTTAGATGATTTAGCTAGAGAAGTCAATGCTTTGATACGGAATAGGAGTGAGAACAAAGTGGCTCTAAAGTGTTGGAAATGTGGTATTGAAGGGCATATATGACGGCATTGCAGAACACCCCAGAGTACGGATAATAAAGCGGATGATCTTATAAGACCAGTGAATGCCTTGAGATGAAATACTGGTGCGAAAAAAACCAACCTTAAAGTGCTGGAGCTGCGGTATTGAAAGCCACATACGAAGGAACTGCAGCACACCCCAAAGCACAGAAAATAAGAAAGGCGGGTTAAACAGACAATTAAATGTCATGGAACAGAAAAGGAGTGACAAGAAACCAAAGTGCTGGTACTGTGGAGTTGAAGGCCACGTACGAAAGAATGCAGAACACCCCAGGGTACGGAAAATAAGATCATTTCCCAGCAACGACGCAGGAAACAAATGAATGGCCATATTGAGGAACGGAGGTTGCCAGAAAATGGAAAACGTTGTTTTAAAGCGCTCAAGATTTCTACAGTGAGTGGCAACAGTAACGGACTGTCCATCAATGGATATATCGACGGAGTTCCTTGCAATATGATCATTGACACAGGAGCTAATGTTATCATTAGGAAAGATTTAGCTGAACAGTTTAAAGATAAACTTATTTGGACGCCATCCTGTGTTACCCTTCAGACTGCGTCTGGTGACAAGATCGACATAGCTGGGAAGTTAAACGTGAACATCACGTTTGGAAGTGCCGCCTACCATCACACAGCTTATGTGGCGGATATTACAGATCCATGCATACTCAAATTGGACTTTTTGAGGAAATACAATTTTTCCTTAGACCTGCGGAAAAACAACAAACTGCTTTTCAAGCATCTGAGAAGACATGACTATCCATCCTCAGACAGGGATCCTCACCTGGAAAATGCCGACGCCTTGTCCGAAAGACCCAGTTCGGGAAGCTGCCGAAATCATACTAGGGTCGAAAAGAAAACGCAAGACTACCAGCTATTCTCCATTCACAAGATGCTCTTCGGTAGAGACCTTCGTCTGCCTTGTGACCGCCTGTTTGATCGCCATACGGATGCTCCTTGATCGCCTGAGGAACACATCCAAGATGTCCAGGCCCGTTTTGAAGTGATGCACCGAAGTACGATGAAAAAGATCCGTACAAGTTCTAGTAAACTTGGCGAAGTTCCTTGAAGTTCCGTACAAGTTCTAGTGAACTTGGCGACGGAGAAAGCGAAGTCCAGACACAAACGAGAGCTACTGAACATCAATTTCACGAAGGAGACAAGGTTTGGTTGTGGCATCCGATTCGACGAAAAGGAGTCAGGCCTAAATTACAGTCACCTTGGGATGGTCCGTACACAGTCCTAAACAGGCTGAATGACGTCGTGGTTCGGATTCTTAAGTCTTCGAACTCTAAACCTAAAGTCGTTCATTACGACAGGTTAGCTCATTACTATGGCCATAGTACGTAATGTAAATAATTGTAAATAGTGTAAGACCATGGTCCTTTTTGTTTCTAAATATGTATTTAGTATTTGATTTGTATTTTGCATTTGATTTGTATTTTGCATTTGATTTGTATTTTGCATTTGATTTGTATTTTGCATTTGATTTGTATTTTGTATTTGATAGCATTTGATTTGTTTTATTTATTGCATTTATTGTTCATGTTGTTTATTATTGTAATGTAATCCTTATTATTGTATTCATGCCCTAGTTGTAAGTTTAGCTTCCTGTCCAGGGATTGTACTGCCCGGGACGTGCAGTCCTTGGGAAGGGGGAAGTGTTACGAATTTGGTATTTAAAAAGCTAATGTTAGTTCAATTATAAATTAAATGGTTTTATTTCCCGCGCAGTGCAGCGCGTGACGAATATTGAAAGAAAGGTAAGCCGGAAAATTGATAATACAAGAGCGCGTGCATTAAACATTTAATAAATATCTCTTTTTGATTTCGAGAAAGTACTAGAAAATTCTCGCACGCGATTTTAAAATCTTATAAAAGGAGGAAAACCTCTCAGTTCGTAGTAGTTACTTAGTTTGTTGTTGTTTAGAAAACTGCTCTTGTTGACTGTAGCGAATTCGCGGATTAGCTTTCTTTAGCTGTTTTGAATTATGTTCTTTTGAACGTTTGAATAGTTAGAGAATAACTACTGTGAGATATTGTAAAATTGAAAGAATATCTGATGGAATTTAAGAATTTTGTGATAATAATAAATTTTTTGTTCATTTTTCATCGGACTTGTGCATTGATTTCGTAATGAACCCGTACGCACGCAACAATATATACAGATTTTCCATCTAGTGTTACAAGTCTGCCATCATATAATGTTATTGAGGCAAGCATGAGTGTTCGTATCTTTCTTTAAAATCTATCTTAATCTCTCTCATGTAATTTCATTAACTGAATTATTTCAAGAAGTATTTGTTTTCACGTCGGCCTTTCTATTAAAATATAAGTTTACTTCAACAATACCATTCAATTCTACAGTTCTACATATACTTCATACAACTAAATAGCATCATATATTTAATTATATTTGACCATATAAATAAATTTAAAGTATTTGAAATAGTTATCGTCACTTTAGTGTTAATATAATTTTCATCACAATCGTCATTAAATGACGTTTATTGAATTTCACATTATTAGAGCTCTAATTACATATTTCGAATATAGTTACCACTGTAATCTTCTAATCTGCATAATCTATGATGTTCGACAAAGACGAATAGATATGGTTCAAGACAACGGAAGTAATCATGCATCACTTTCTAAAGTTTATTTTTAAAATGCAAGCTGCATATGCATATCAGTGATCTACAGAAATACTAACTATACACATACTGATCACTAATAATGTTGAAAGTTTACATTCAGGCTTGAAGGTATGAATTATTTATTATTCATTATTATAATTATTTATATTTTACAGGAAACTAAGAAAAAGATATGTGTGTCTACATCACCATGTTTATATCTAAATAATTTTGTCATTCTTTTTGTTTAATAATATGTTATTAATTTCTATTTTATTATATTTTCGATAATCAGGTTTTAAAACTTAACTCTGTTTGTTACTTGCATTTTTTCACTTACCGTAATCTTCTGTTGGGAGACATAAATCCTTCATTCTGTTTCGAACCAAGTTGCTAATTTCTTGCCTTTCTACGTCCGACCGAATCGCAATCTGATCCTCATCGTCCATTAAATCCAAAGACATCTGTTGATAATAAAATTTACGTACATAATTTAAGGAATTTTGAATGCAAGCAGAATAAAAAGGTTACTCTAATACTCTTTCTTTAGTTTGATTTAAAAGAACATAAAATACCACACAGAGGAGTTAACACACTACGCGTGCGAAACGAAAATTTTAGTCGTGTGTAAAAACAAAAATCGATTTTTCGCTGTGTATATTAAATTTGCTTGCGAAGCTCACTTAATCTGTACAGCGGAAAATAGATTGAGCTAAATGCATATCTTAAACTTATTCCTACTTTTAGTAGAATTTCGGCAGCCTAATAGCCGAGTGGTTAAAATTGCTTAACATTAGTTGTTCATCTTGAATTTTGTATCTAGAGAGTGGACTGGCTGCACGGGATTAGCGTAGCTTTCCCGTTTGTAAAGTGGATACAACCTAATTTTCCTTTTGGTAAGGGACCAATGTTCGATTTCTTAATTATTCAAATATTAATTCAGCACCAAGTTTTATCCAAAATAGACAAAAAGGGGGGAGGTGAATATATCCTTCATACTTATATATCTTGCTGCTGACTTTATTTAGACTAGAAAATACAGTTAAGTTATTCTGTCATCTCGTTGTGTAATGTAAAGCCAAACAATCTTGGTTAGTAAGAGAACAAAACGATAAAACAGTAAAACTAACGCATTTGCTCAAAACTAAATTTCAGTTAGTTAATTGTGCTATTAAATACTTTTCATTTAAATCCAAAAATATTCATATTGATATAAATTAGTTAATCTACTGTCCAGTATCATAAATATACCCCATCTAACCCCCCCAAATCGATATTTCACTGAAACATTGTTTAATCAAAATTTCTATAACAAATTAATTAATTAAGTTAAGAACCTTCTATCAAAAAGAAAATAACTAAATCTCACTTCTATCACAAAGAATCAACATGTCAAGAAGCATTAACTTTCAGGAACATAATACTCATTGGTTTAAAATGCTCCATTACCTAAATAAAAAAAAAAAAAAATAAAAAATAAATAAATAAATAAGAAAAATCTGAAAGGTTTCAGATTATAAATTACGTCCAAAGGGGCGTTTTTCTTAACGTTTTGTGTGTTACTTTATTTATTAAATATCATGTTCTTTGCACTTAAACCATAAAATTCAGTTCAATAGCAGTTTCGCAAAATAATTTTAAAATGAGCATATTTTTAGAATTTCCGATACACAGTTTCGCGCCCTGGAGATAAAAAGGTCCTCCCCCCCTCGTAGAGTGTTGCCATTGCTCGCTTTGAAATCTTGAGTTTGTTAATCAAAAATTCGTTAAAGTTTTACAAAATATGAAATTGATAATAAAACAAATTCCAAATTTCAAATTCGGTCTTCCACATGCCCATATTCACAGGAGCATTACGTCATTCAAAAATTCGATGGCTCTATGTATCGTTGTTTTATTACAATGCGAGAAATATACATGCATTTATGCAGATTTTTCATTATTTAATTTCTTCAAATATAATGCAGGACTCTAACAGTTGGTGGCAACAGTTTGAAAAGTGAAACGGACGTTTATAGTGATTCAACGCAAAACGAAAACAATTGTCCTTCAGGGACAAAGCCCCTTTGAACTTAAAAAAAAAAAAAAAAATTAAGGCACTTTTCTCCTAGAAAAAGTTAAAAGTCAGCTAAAACAATATTTCCAAGAGAAGCTAATTTCTGAGAAAATTGTAGTTAAATACTATTTTAACAATAATTCATCTACTGAGTATTATTTAGTCCTAATAAACAAAAGAGGCACTTTAGTTGGGGATAATGGCTGGATCTCACAGTGGTTGATGACTGCAAAACAGTCTGAGAAAAACAAAAACATCATCATCATCATCAACAACAAATTCTAGCTATTAATGAGAAGGTGACATCTCATCCGATGTCGAAGAAACCGGAGGTGCTCAAGCCGGCGAATCCAAAGGAAGCGACAGAGATAGTGAGTGAGTGGGTTAGGAGTTTCAGGGCCCGCTGAACGGCATTCTCAGACGAGCAGCTTTCGGTAGTAAACTGGACGACCCGCCGATGGTGAAGAAACCAAACGATCCTCTCGGACATAAAAAAAATGCAGCCAGCTAATGGACCAGAAACTCCAAGGTTGTATTTCAGGAGGAGGACGTAGGAGACGGATGTTTCTTACGTGCTTTGCCTGAATTAAATAGACTGTTCAATGAAATTCATTTATGTAATTGAGATATCTAAGCACAAGATCTACATCGTAGCTGGAAGGTATTAGTGATCGGAAATACTACCGCGTGTGGCCAATATGGGTTTTGAAATCAATTCTTGCCACTCTGCGAGTTTTGTGACTTTTACAGATAGGATTTCATACATGTGTGCAAAATCTCATTAAAATCTCTTGTGATCCATATTGGTAAAGACTACCAATACTTTCTTTCCCGACCTTCGATGATTCTACTGTGCTAAACACCTTGGCTGCGATGTGCATCATCAATGATTCAAAGCAGCCTTACGTTTAGCAGCTTCGAATGTGATTCACAGGTTTTGTAATGTGTGTGTGTTTGTGTGATTATGGCAAAGCTTCGAGGGCTATCTACCTAAGGGGAGGGATGCCTTCGTGGAGGACTTTCTAAGCGAAACTGGCTCATTACACGTTACACATGGAAAACCACGAAAATGCCCATGCAGCCAGCCCGTTCGCGGGATTCAAACCTTGGACTAAACTACCAGTGTTCAGAGACTTTACCGCTCTACCGCTGGTGGGCTTGGTTTTGTAATGTTTGAAGCCGTGTGAGCCGTTGGTGCTTCAAAAACACACAGATTTATACGGTTAAAATTATTTCTACGGCTACAAAAAGTTGCTTCGAATTCTTGGTTTCTGGCTTCTGGAAAATTTTCCCCATAAATTGTTATACGTATGATTTTAATATGTATTTTGCTACAGTAACTTTTAAATAATTATTTAAGTGGAAGTAAGAGAACGAATTTCTAATTAAAGGGAATTGTGCTGTTTGTAAAAAGAATACAAGACTAGTGGTACATTTTATGTTTATACATTCAACTAAGTTATTTTTTCTTATATATGCTGTTTTACTATTTGTAGTGTAATATACATCTTGTCTAATTTTACTGTTTTTTGTTATGTAGAGAAATTATCTGATAGCGTTGTAAAAACTAAGTGAATGATTTTATGATTTATGGAAATTTAAATTTTATTTGCATTCTGAATTATTTAATTTAAGGCTTTAATTTTGGGGAAGAAACAGATGCTTCGGGAAATATTATTTAGTTATAAATGAATATTATTTATTTTCTTTCTATTTGCAAATCTTGTACAAACTTTTATTCATTGTGAAAGAAGCAGGGAAAGGGAGGCAATTTTCGCCAAGTCATGATTTCGCGCGTTTTGTCCTTTAGAATGTTCGAGAAAGAATTTTCATTGTTAGTTGACCTTAAGAGAGGAAAGTACGTGACGGAAAGGTCAAAGGTTGCTACTTGTCTTTCAATGTAAGTCATTCAGGTTTTTGGCGATTGAGGGTCCGGTTGTTGGCTAAGTGAAGAAGGGCGCGCATGCGCGATCACCCTTATTTCCGCATTCTGGAGTTGAAAACGAAGATTTTGCCATAATTAAGGGGGCGATAAGTGAAGCCATAGTGGGAGCCCGTTTGGTGAAGGAGAAGAAGGAAATTCGAGTTGGATACACACTTACTTTTGGCTGACTCTCGGACTGACTCGCTGATTTTCGGGCTTGCTGGACAAAATGTAATTACGACGAGAAATGTTTTCCGGCGGGGAGCGGCAAATATGCTCCCCGGCCGCGTTTGGTTAAGAGGCGAGACACACTTACTTGGACTCGCTAGGCACTCTCTGACTGACTCGCTGATTTTCGGGCTTGCTGGACAAAATGTAATTACGAAGGGGATGTTTTCCGGCGGGGAGCGGCAAATATGCTCCCCGGCCGCGTTTGGTTAAGAGGCGAGACACACTTCTCTGGACACACTTACTCTTGGACTCGCTGACTTTCGGGTTTGCTGGACTTGTGGACGTTGCTCTTGAAAACTGGCTTGAAGGAAATTGGAGTTGGATTCTCTCCCTTACTGACTGGCGGGTGGAACTTACTTGGGACGTTACTCGTGAAGCTTGCTCTTGGGATGAGTAAGAACAGGCGAGCCAGTAATTTCCTAGCAACAACGTTTCTGACCGGCGCGAAATTTGAACGAGTTACCTGCGTGTTGACATAGGACTTTCAGGACCAAGCGGATAGCCGTCCTGGGCAGCAGTGCTCCTGTTTCTGTTCTACAGTAGTGAAGTGGAGTCTACATTTTTAGAACCAGTGTCAAGATGAGCCCGGCCGACATCAACGCGGGATAAGATAAGAGTCCTCCGCTGCAAGATGTCCCCACCAGATAAGTTCTATATTTTTTTTTGTGTTTATTCGATCCTCTCACGACGAAACTTTCTCGATTTAACACTGGTGCCGTGACCTCTGCTTAGTGAAGGATCGAATCGGTAACTCATTTTTTGAATTTATTATTTGTATAATTTACTTTTAAGGAAGGGAGTTAAATTTTATGTGCTAGGATTAATTAGAGTTTTTGATTTGTGTTTGCTTATTTGTTAATACGAGAGTGATAGAGTGATAAAGTTTGAAAATGTGTGTGAATTTCAGGAATTTTGGACTTTAACGTTAGGCAAACAGAATTGAACTTTAAAATTAGGAAAAAATATATTTTTAATGTAGGCAGAATAGGTACTGTACATTTTTACTGTTGAAAATCCTTGAGTGTTTTCTAGATGTGTATTTTTGATTTTCGACGTACTGATTTATGATACAAGATGGAAAATGAATTATTTCACGATAATCCTATGCTATTTGTGTATCCTTGTATACAAGTTTCGAGTGCTTGTCGGTAAAAACTGGACTCATTTTTTGAGCACTTCTAAGAGAAAGAGATTAAAGACTCTAATTATTTTACTGAATGAGACAAGCCATAGCTATGCGTAGCTAGAAATTTTT